AAAGAAGCACATTGGAACGCTTCAGGATATCAAATCTAACATTAAGAAGACAGTCTGTGCGCATATTCCACGTGCACGATTTTTAGACTGATGTTAGGAGCGGATTAGCACTTTATTGCACCACAAAGTGATGCTGGAATATGGCGTGGAAATTGGAAAGTAAAGGTAGAATCTCTATTTTTCGTGTTTCTGTAACTATTAATCTGTCCAGACGACAGATTACCACGGCGCCCGCCGTCTGGTGACACTTGCAGTGACCGATGCCTTTCGGTTTTACGGAAGCTGCAACCCAGGTCATCACTGTCCTTGCACTCGACGTTGCAGGCGGGCATGTCGAAACATCTCGTTGTAATTTGTTACTCACACATTCTGAAAAATGAACGTTCTCAGGTAAACATGAGATGGTCTTGCTCGTTCTTTTAACTTATCTCAATCCATTCTATTCAGCAGTAACGAGGCTTCCACTCTACTCAACAATACTGAGACTCCTTATTTCCTTCCAGGCAAGGGCCCCTTGAGTAGAACACCCGGGGCACATTAACGTTTCAAGTCGAGGGCTGAAAGGCCATTTCGTCCTATCGCAAAGTGCCTTCCGGCTGTCATTCTGGTGACACGGGGCGGGATCTCACGATCAATCCGGAGGCCATTAGAAGGATATATCATAACAAATCGTTCTTCTCCCTGACATGGTAGACGTTCTGACCCGCGCAGTTGGGCCTGGATCAAGCGCAGAAAACCTCACTGACGTAATAATATCCCTGATCGCCCCAGGTAGTCCAATAATTGTCACATAGACTCCAGTTTCAATTTGTTGTGTTCTTCAGAAATATTGAGGACTCCCTGAACGTAGGTTGTAGATGAGATGGGCGGCCCAAATTTGTATTTGCATAGCTAATCCATGTTCATCTAAAGATGTTTAAGATTCAGTCAGAATTGATCATTGATGCAAACTTTGTAACATGGTTTGAACGTACGCGCTCGCAAGTCAGCAACAATAGCCTCGATACCCGGCGATGCAGACTCCATGGGCCGCGTGGCGTCGGCCTTGCGGCTGTAGCACCAAGCGGTGGCCAATGAGCAACCGAAAAAGATCACGCATCTTGAGGAAGATGGCTGGTGAACTAGGTAAATCGGCATATATGTTTAATGGAGTGCAAAAGTATGCTAAACAGCCTTAATCTGAGAAGTGGAAGGGGGGGGGGCAGTTAACACCGCTAGCCCCCCCCCCACCTCAAAAAGTGGGAGGCCATGGCCCCCTGGCCCCCTGTTCCTACGTCCACGGGGGGATCTGAGCCAATAAAGCTAACCTAACCTACCCTCACATTCTGATTTCTGTCCGGATTTCGGCCATTTTTAGGTGCGTCCCTCGTGTCAAAGTTGTGTTTTTAAATTTATATTTGGTTAGTTTGAACTCGTTTTGATGTTGAGAAGTGACTTCTCTTCTAAAGTGAGGTGGCAGCAATGATGATAACAGATAATCATGATATAGATATAGATACGCTCAGGACCAAGTGTGCATCGGTTCAGACACTCGCTGCGTTTGGTTAACCAGTATTCCCTTTTAGCTCATGCATTTGGGGAGACCTCAAAAGTGCTTGCAGCGGCTCAGATCAACATGGCTGAGGAAGGCCTCCTCCCTCCCCCTTCCCCCCCCGAAGGCACACAGTGGCATCCCAAGATGGCCCTCCTCGTTTGTGTTGTCTTTTTTCTCATTTTAGACTTCATTTTGATCCATCCTATTCCATCCTAAGCAAAACCCTTATCTTTCCGGGTAAGGGGCTGAGTGGACAGAACACTAGGGGACATCATATTTCCCGGACAGAGGCTAAAGAGTCGTTCCGTTCCAGCCCGATGTGCCTACAGGCTGCCTTTCTGGCAATATGGGACATGGTTCCCTGGTCGATTCGGAAGTCCTCATCGTGATCAGTTATATCTGGTCGTCTGCCTGACACCGAAGACCCCTTTGACCTGGATCGGCGCATGGGCCCTTACTGACGCAAGAAAGGCTCTTTGTCGAAGCAGGCGCCCGATAACTGACACGAAGACTCCGGTTAAGCAGGCGGGTCCCTAGCCGAAATAGGATGGAGAGCTCCCTCTTCTGCAATGTGATCCTTGACTGACACATGACTTTCCATTGTCTCATCATAGACCCTCATCGTAAATTATCACATCCACTTCCATTGTCAGAGGGCCCCGACCAACACAAGAGGCCCTGTAGCATTCGAGTCTCTGTCTCTGTTCAGCAAATGTTAAACTGGCCGATTCGTGGTCCCTTGCCCACACGGGACCCTCTGTTAAGTACTGTGGGCCCCTGATCAACAAAGGGGCGTCATTGTTTCAGGGGTCTCGACCAATGCGTATTGCGGGTCCCGGCCTTGCCCTTGATTGGGAAGTGGGTCCCAGGGCTTAGGCGGACATGGTCGACTGTTCGGTGTTGGTGGTGCTCTCTGACTGACAATTGAGGGCCCGACCCTCCGGGCCGGAGTCCTTAATGTGACCTATAGTCAGCCCTTTGTACCCTCCAATCGAGCACTTGATCGTCGGTCCCAGGGGGTTCCTCGACCCTCTCTGTGTGCCTCACCTCTCGAACAGTGCTCCAGACCGCTGAGCACATTGACACACAGGATCCTTATTAGGCGCTGTGGCCCCAGACCAATACCGATACGATACACCGATGCCTCATTGTCTTGGGGGCCCTGAACGATGTGAATCGCGGGCCCCGGTCTTTATTCCTAATTGGGAAATGGGTCCTGATCCCCAGACGTGTCGCCGGAATAATCTGATGGCAAATCCGTCACGTTTCGGTAATCGACGTAGGGTCGATATTTTGTCGTCCGACACGTTGTCGGACATATACGGCTTCGGAAGTGAGTGCAGTTTGATGTGCGCGACTGTTAATGGCTGCCATGGAAACGCAGGGTGGGCTGCGGGCTGCAACGCAGCACTCGCGTAAAGCATATTCGACATGGCTGGTGTGGTTTCTGTGGTTGTTGTCGGACAACTGTCGCTGTCGACTTCGTCGTCTGGTGTTGATGGTTAGATTTGTGCAACTGCTCCACGGAACATTGATGTCAAATTGGAGGTTGGCACATTTCAAGCGCCCTTTCGAAAGAAGCTAGCTAATAACTTAGTCATGTTATTCGGTTCTAATATGAGACGGGGCTTGCATTTTGCTAGTGCCGCGTACATGTGTTGTTCTGTCTTGTAAGCATTGTTCCCATTGCATCCCTCCCCCCTTTGCAATCCCTGCCTCCTTTGCACAGTATCCGGGTAGCGATATGAGGGGCGGAAAGCCGCCGACCGGCCAACAGGCCGGGGAAGGCGTCTGAGCGCACAGGCCGCGCCAGAAGGGCTGCTACGGGCCTAGTCGATACCAAGATCATCAGAGAGACGCCGGGGATGTGGCCGGGGATAACTGCGCCCCACGCCCCAAACGTTAGAAGCATGTCCCGAGCAGGAGGCAGAAGCGGGGAGGGGCATCCGGCAGAGCCGCGCCCCACGCCGCTCGCGTGTCCGCCGCACTGGAGTTGACGGATCACCAGCGGATGACCAAGAAAGATCTGTGCAGAGCCGAGCAGTAGGCCAGAGTTGAGCCAGCTGATACAATCACCCGCTGCGGGCCAGTTTGGAGTCCGAGTCCGAGCTCGAGACCAAGCTCCGGCCGATCGGCACGCGGCACAACCCACCATAGAAAGCAAAACTCAAGACCAAACATAACCCCGGGTCATACCGACGCCCGCCCCCCGAGGCCCTGGGCCTGTCCCTGGCCAGGTTGGCTGATGGCCAGGGCCTTGAAGGGGAGCACGTCGAACAAAATAGCGGGAGCGTTACATTCAGGAAGAGGGCAGCCACGAGAGGGCAAGAGATGATCCCGGCGATAGCACGAACTTATTGGATAATTGGAGCCGTGAATTTTGATGTGGCACGTAGGTGCTTGCTGGCAAAACGCGCTACTTTGACATAGATATGATGAAAATAATGTGCATTGCGACGCATTGTACATCACCGGTCAGTTCATTTAGGAACTAGCATGAGTCTTCACGAAGAATAAAATCGGAATTGACTCTGTGCTTCGACACGTGACTGTTGTTTGCGACGCGAATACCTCTGAATGTACTTTTGAAACAGCTAACGTTCGTTCATTTTGGAGCTAACTCGATTTCAACGTCTTTGCTAAATGCATCACATTGAGGTCAGAGAATCTGCTTGGAAGCGCGATGAGTCACATGAGTAGGACAATGCCCTTATTAATTACTTTGGCTTCAAACTCGGCGAGTCGTCAATGAATCATTCAGAGCACGATCGTTTTAACATTCTGCAGGAAATTGCCAGAAAATGGATTACTTTCCCGATTACTGGTCTCTACGTTAACAAATTCAGTACACATTTCAAGCACACAGGTTTGATTGTTTCGGACCGCACTTCAAGGAGAAAGATTTTGCTGCCTTGTCTACGCTTTAGGTAAGTTTATCAGTTGCTTCGGTCTTCATTTCCTTATTTTAGTGGCCTAACTAACGAGGACATGATATGACGTCAAGCGTTGAATGAATGCCATGCCATGAATGTTATGGGTTCTTCGGCCGTGGGGTTGATTCAGCATGGCTTGGAGCTAATCGTTCGGGTTGCTCCTTTTAAGATGCGCCCATTAACTTTCCGTTTGCATATATATTCCACCTTAGACAATGAATTCCCGAAAAAGCTTTGTGAGAGTTCTGTCTCCCGGGTTTCCAGCCCGAGGCGCTCGGGTGGGACGTCAGCCAATTATTGATTGATAAACCTTGCAGCTGATATTATGGTCTGTTTTGAAAAGAAATAGTCCTGGTATGATCTAAATGACGATATTCAACGGATCCCAATCTTAGAAACGTTTCAAAGAGCCAAGAGAACTGCGGTTCGCATGTATCCGCCGTTGAGCATTTCGTGCCGATTACACTTGTGACGTCATCAGTCGAAGCAGCGGAATTTGGCCGGACGGTTATACCTTCTGTTCTAGGGCCTTGGGTTAATAGGTGTTGGCGGTCGTCGCACGTGTGGTGTCATGAGTGCAGGGCCGGTATAAGAGAGTAAAACGTTTTCGTTTGAGCGGCATAGTACCTATATCGGCTGTTAATAATCTTTAAGCGTTCTTTCCACTTAGGATCGAGATGGCCTCGACGATTGTGCGGAGGATTAGTTCGCCGTTGGCTAAACTCATAACAAGCTCCAAGCCGGCAATGAAATGTGCGATTTCTGCGGGCCAAATCCGCTGTCTGTCTGTACCAAACAGAAGAATTCTGACGTGTTCAATGTTCAGAAACAATATGTGAGGTGCTTACAAAGTTCAGGTATGTACAACATGAAAGATGCGTGACCACGTGGTTGATCACCGATTCACGAGTTCAGTTTCCACCAGTAATGGTTACATTTCCCTGCTGTCTTCAAGACAAAACCACCCAAAGCCTGTGGAATTAGAACATACAGCACCAATTTTACCAACTGAACAATGTTTAGTATCAGTGCAGTCTTAAAAGTAATAGCAACATAGGAAGATTATGCTCTTGCACCAGTCAACCATTGGAATCAAAATTGGTATCTTCCACTTCTGAATGTCTGCACAACATCAGTAAGCTAAACCCTGTGTATTTGCTGAGCTCAGACCAGGCCAGATTGTGTTAAATTCTCATTTTTTTGCAAATTTGCATGGAAAATGTCTTTTGAATATGCTGTTCCAAATTTATATTTGCAATATTGTAATGGCTTGAAACATAGGCTCCCTTTCTGCTGATGTTTGTGATGACCATGTGAAAAACTGAGTGTGGAAGTCTATTTTATTCATGCGCTAAAATTGCTGCTGCAATGTTGTGGTCTGCATGTTCAGTATGATATCTGTCATTGAAACATGGGAACATTGCTCTACTCACCAGATATATTTGGTGCAGCATGTATTTTATGCAGCCTGGGCTTTATATTTTTCCAGCAGAAGGTTAGAGTAGGTGCCAACTAACACAACTGGTACAATAGACATTATATGACCATAATGCAATCTCAGTGTTCCACATTCATTAATCAACACAAACATCAGGTTGCTGCAATGGTGTAGGCATACATTGGTACCTAATGTCAGCAAAAAATCATTGTACATCATTTGTTGTGGTTAAGGTGGAACATCTTGTAAGTAATCATAAAACAGGTAGATTCATGCTCCTACTTTTGAATTTCAATAACTATGATAGCAAGCTCCCCAGCGCCCCGCACACTCCACTGCCTTGACTCCCAGGCTGTCTCTGGGCTATCCTTGTGTGATTACAATATTTCTGCCTATCAAGAACCATAAAAAATGTAGGGGGCCAAGGTAACAATAATAATGCAATGAAATATGTTTCTTATTGCGCGTAGGTACGTTAATAAAACAGACAGGCCAGAATAGTCCAGAACAAAGCCTAAATTAGCCTAAATTTGCCTCACCTGACAACTTAACCTAACCTAACCTCCCCACCCTATCCCCTATGGCGTCGGGGTCGCGGTTGCGGTTGCTGCGTGTCTGCGGTGCTCGGATGTTCGCTATCGTAGTTATTTAAGTTCCAACGTAAGAGTTTAGATGACCTGTTTTGCGATTAATTACGATATGTTCTACCTTAAAAATGACAGTTGATGTGCAATGCCCTTTTTTAACATGAGGTGGCAATGTATACCCTGACCGCTGCAACACTGTGACCACAGTGTATAGTGTACCTTCTGTGATTTGTGCACTAGTTAGTATCTGAACTAGAACCTGGTATCACTGAACATGGCTTGTATTACAGTTGAGAAGGGTTTTCATCTTGGCTGGCAGAAACAATTTTGTCATTTTCTGGTTTTTGCAGGCATTAACTGGCAGAAACTCAGGTCATGGATTATGTTTTTCTTTTTGATACCAGTTTGGAATATAATGGACTACAAACAGCTACACAATGGAGAAAGTCTGCCTACATTATTTATGCACTCATGCCAGGCATGAGTAAGTGCTTTCTCCATATTGTTGAAATAATTTCCCTCTTTTTTCCTGACCAGGTGTTGTCGCGTAAAAACCTGCCAATAACCGAAGACTGACCTGACCCATAAAGGAGTTAGAGTGCCAAAAACATTATAAGGTACCTACCAAATACTATGCGGAACAAACTTGGAGTGACGCTAACAGTGACGCCTCCAGATGGGTACCTAATGTAGCAGTATCTCAAGGAAATTGTGTGCATTTCAGTAAACCAGTTTTTTCCGTATTCATTTGGGGTCTCAAAGGAGCATTGGGACATGAGGAGCATTGCCCCCCCCCCCCCCCCGAGCATATAAATGACACAACTGGACAACAAGCATTGTATAAGAGTCTGAAAAATCGGCGTTCGAGAATCAAAGCTAAACCCATTTAACCACGTTTCGCCCCGCTAACACGGTCGACGCCTTCCCGCTTCTGTGGTACGGATTTGCGGAAGGGTGCGGCGTTTGGCACGTGTGTCACGTTCGTGCCCCTGATATGCACGCTGGCTGATCATGCTATACATGCGATATGACAGCCCGGTCTCAACCATCCAAGTTTTATGGTGTCCGAGATGCGGTCGTTTTTTCCATCCTTGTCACCACCCGCGAATGGAAATTTACACCCCTCTGCACGCGATGCACCCGAGTGCCGCTTCAGGAGCCGTATGCAGACATGCAGTGGCTGACTGAGGACAACACCAACGCTTCCACAGTGTTCTTTAAAGTCGCATTGGGGGTGATGTGGTACGGGTGAGAAACACCTTATATCGAGTGCATTGCGAGTCATTGTGTCGGCATGTGCTTGGAAGTGGAGGTGACGATCTTTGGTGACTCCGAGAGTCCCGACTGATGTGGAGCTAGAGACTTCTGTACCACAGAACGTGTGTGACTGGTGGTAATACTGGTGGTAATACAACGCTGTTGGAGTGCCCGATGACTACGTCTAACGTAACGCAATTTTCGGCACCATCCGCCCCGCTCTCTGACCTCATCTGACCTTGAGCGGCCGCTGCCACCGGCCGCGAGTCATCCCAGTCATGGGAAAAAGCGAGTACCAGATTGACCCGAACCCACCCACTCTGTCACGGGTAGGTTGAGAGGGAACCGCTGTAACCGGTTGAGCTACTGGGGGAACCTAATTTTCATTGATCTGTAAACATTTCAATATTTTCACTCGTATGCAGGGTGTTAAATTAAGAAGGCTGCCCACGATATGAAAACAGCCAGCATTCTTGACTCGTAGTCAGTGCAAAGTCACCCGTCGATGAGCCAGCGTCAGCAGACTTAGCCGACGATTTGCTGCGAGATAGTACTGGGTACGTTTTCAGCATCATGAACTTCAGCGGAAAATCTGTTGCTACGTTATGTGCGTGTGCAACATAGCCAACCCGTTCCCGTTCCCACCGGACCAAGGTCAGACCTTGGGTCAGACCACTGTTATTGCATCTCAAATGCTCATGGGAATCTGCATTTAATTAGGCCCTAAAATTCTGGACAGTAATGAATAATGCAATAACAGCAGAGCAAGCTTTCTCGTTTTATCATATCAGACCTGACTTGATTTTCTCTTTCCTTTCGCATCAAATCTTTGAAGCTGGAGCTCTCTTGTACTAGTCTCATGCCCCTAGACACATTACATGTCCCCTTCATGTAGCAACATTTTGCCCCAAGTCGTTTACTTTCGTAGTATTGAGCAGATATCAGTCTGTACAACATATTTCGGTTGCCAAAAATAGTCTTTGGAACTTCTGTGTTCGTTGATCGCTTTTAGCGTGGTCTGCGACGCATTGACACGCCTGTGTTGAATCTAGTTCTGGCAAGCCATCTTTGTTGGTAGAAGGTTTGTACTATCAGTAGGTGTGACATATTGTATAACCCGTTCCTTTTTCCAGGCGACAAGGAGCTCCTGGATTTTCTCGGTGAGGAGATCGTTGCAGAGACCAAGCAAGGGAAGTCCGACAAGCTACCGTCCCGCATCGGAGAATTTGACGTCAAGCTGGACCAGGCAGAAGTCACGCTGACAAGGCAGCACAACAATGAAACGTACGGTAATCTCAAGTCAAAAAGCTTTGGTGTGCCACAAAGCGCTCTGTATTGGAATTGTTTTTCGCAGAATTTTCTGTAGGATGGGAGACATATTGGGCTGATGTCTATGCCTGGCGTACTGATGTGTGTGTGTGTGGGGGGGGGGGGGGGGGGGGATGAATGTCATGTGTGCCGCCCTCTTGATCGTTTTAAACTTTCCATTGCTGCTCTCTGTCGATAACGGGTGATCGCCTACTGACCATACGTGCCCTGTCCCACCAGACTTCAGAGTCTCACCACGTATGTCTGCTTCTCTGTGCTCTTCTTCTCTGACCGACAGAGCGCGAGTAGTTTCTGTGTAGGACCTGCCAAAGCTGCATGGTATCTTGCAGATGTAGTTCTTTGTATGTTTCTTAGACATCGGTGATTGGACTTGGATTAGTCTTCGCCGCTGAGCTGAGCTACTTGTCCGGGTGCTGTATGGTCCCCAGATTTATCAGTAACCTTGGAAGACAATAATGACATCGCTGTTGGTTTTTCATTTAGCTGCCCTGCTTGTTCTGTTTGTTGGTCGGAGTAGGAGAGCACACATAGGCGACCATGCGGGGTTAAGCTCTGAAGTCGGGCGTGGCAGAGCAGAGCATTCGTGGTCAGGTGATCACCGACCGGCGTGGGATGATATAGCCATTAGCGCCAGGGAGTTACACTGCAAAGTAAGAAAGGTCAAGGGGGTAGCACACATGGAATTTGACTTCAAGCGTCGTCAGTAGGCCGAGCGTATGTATGAACTCAATATGGCTCCCATTTTTTAGGAAAAATCCCCAAGTATCCAGGAAATAAACCGGGTCAATTATGATACCGGCCGTGTGTCCTCCCGGTTAGCTCAGCGGTAGAGCACTGGATTCGACCATGTGTCGAATACCAACCAAGGAGAGAATTCCGGTTAGGACGTGGCTGCAAGCTGCACACTATCCAATCCGTCCGAGCACTCAACAGCAGCCACACACAGCAGGAGAGTTAGCGGACCGGAACGTCGCGTTCGTGCAAACATACTTGACAAGGACGATAGTCTGAATAATGTTTGCAATTATGACGTCGCGCGTCCTTTGCAGTTTTTTGTTACCCCTTAACGCACTCAAGAACAGCCGCACACAGCAGGAGAGGTACCGGACCGGACCGTCGCCTTCATGCTTTCGTGTTCATGCTAACATACTTGGCCAGGACGATAGCCTGAATAATGGTTGCATTTATGATGTCATGCGTCCTTTGCAGTTTTGGTTTCCCCTTAACGCATTTGCGGCATGGAGGTAGTATCACTGTACATCGGTGAATGTGACATGCGACAGGTCAAATCAACTCTTAGAGTAAGGCCTAGTGTGCAGGGACTCTTCTTTACGTCCTGCTTTGTTCAACTACATGCCGTGAGCTCAAACATGTCCGTAGGTCAGTAACGTGGTCCATAAAGGGAAGGTGCTTCTTCAGTAGCCAGCTTCATGTAAGAGAAAGATGTGTTAACTTTGCCTTAGGGCGTTGCTACGAAGGGCTTTGCTTCGACTTTGTTTGCGCATAGTAAGGAGGATCCAAGTGTACTCCTGCAGAAGTAAAAACCCATTAATCATGAGAAAAGGTCGAAATCAGAAGGTACTCGGTGCTTCACCGAGCATCCAGCGTATTTCATGAACTCAGCTAATTGAACCATTAAATAAAAATTATCTTCGGAAATAAAGAAAAGAAAAAGATTTCGTTCCCTGCCTTAAAATTAATATTGTTGATCATAAGGGACGGCCAAGAGCAGAAGAGCAGGAAAGTTAGGCCGATAATTAACTTGCAGTGCGAAATTGCTGAGCTGTGCGGCGATTGAAGCATATCAACGGCGGACTGTGTACGAAGGTCGGGCGTTGTGCACATCATAAAAACAACACAACTGCAGTTCGCATGGTAAATTGGAAGGCACAGGAAATATGTGTTTGGCATCCAGTGGATAAAGGATGGCAAGCTGGTATGAAAGTATGTCTCTTTCCCGTACGTCGTGGATATCACGAGATTGATGTTCTCTTTCTTGCCTCCTTACGTGCATACGTGATGTGAGTTTACAAAATGCACAGGTTACAGTAGGGATAGTCAGCTGTTTCAGTTAACTTATGTGGCTTAGATGCTATTGCCTGCATGTGCATTGCCTGCAGTACAGGGAGGCTCGGTGTGCGGACACAGGAACCCAACAGTTTTGTTTCAGACTTTGCACTTAACGAACGAAACCAACAGTTTTGTCCACTTCTGCGGGTTGGTGAACGATGTGAAGATTTATAGCATGCCTTCATTTCAAGGAAATATAAAGTGATCGGCATTGCTGTGTCAGTTAGGGGACATATGCGGTCAATCGGCACCTAAACGCCAAAAGTACACGCAAAGTAATGGCAAAATTATGCTAGGTTGTACATTTGGTGTACCAAATGTGTGTCTGGGTAATAGCAAGGAATAAGACAAATTCATCTTGTGAAATTCGCGACGTTCATGACAGGTATGTTAAACGGCTTGCCAGCTTTATCCAGGTGGATTTCTCGGCGTAAAATCGGGGTGCCTACGAGTTGGCATATCAAGTGCAGTGAAGCTGCTTTTGTCACATATGCGTGCGTGTGCCCGACGTACAAAGTCCGCCCTTGAAATGTGGCCATTTCATAGCTCAGGAATTTTCCCGTTGCAGATTGGGTCTCGCTCTGATTGTTTTGCTCTTTCACTCTTGGGGATGTGCCGACTTCGCAATGATCATCAACACTTGATTTTACGACGAGGGAAGAGAGAATCTATTGATCTTACTTCATTTATCGAAGTTAAGAAGCACTCCATGTCAAATCAGCGAGTTTATGTGAACTGATGGGTGCTCGGTGAAACGCTTGGTAACTTTGCGCTTCATGTTCCCCGCGGATTGTCAAATTTTGCCGCCGTATGAAGACATGGTACTCCTTATTCTAAGCACCCGGATTCGAAGTAAAAACGCTGGGGGTAACCCCTCACGCCAACATTGTACGCCGTTTCACTTTATGAAACTGTCTACAGTGCTGTTTTGTATGTCCCCGTCATGGGCCGCACACGTTGTCATGCGTGCGGGTTGTATGACGCGGTATTATTGTCACACGTTATGCACATCTTTAATGCATTCCGATCCGATCTTGTAGTGCCGAATCTCGATCCGTTCTGAATGCTTCTTTTTTCGTTCTTTTTTGTCCCCTACTTCTCGCGTCTAGCGTCACGATTTCATCGTTCCGTTACTATTTTGCCCCAGCGTCACCGTTACGCTGAACGTCAACCACTCGGTGGACTCGGACCCAGAGTCTGAAGACCTGACCGAGAGTCAGGGCAGCGAGCAGCTGAAAGCGCGACCCACCTTCAACGTCGACCTCCAGAAGAAAGGGCGTACAGTCAGCTTCACCTGCTCCTACACAGACGGAGGCGTTGTTGAACAGCAAGGCGAACAGTACAGTGAGTCCAGGCATTCCCTCCTGCGGTGTCGTAGTTTTGCTTGCCGTGTTTTGTCTTACTTATGCGAACAAAACAATTTCCGCACTTCTCATAGTCTGGGCCATCGTATAGCAGTTAGGCGGCATAGAAGCATCAAATCTCACGGTGGCCGTGCCCATTACTGGTGCCTAGCAAATACTTTCCGCTTCGCACTGAGCACAAGGTGTAAAAGCGTAACGTAGGGGCTTAGTTGTGCCTCTGCCCCCACATCGTCATAAGGCGCATTTTCGTATTACGACATTTCCTGAACTCTGGAACATCCCTGGCTGCCAATCCAGCCTCCTTGGCCCCTTGCACCGCCTCCGGCTCTGTCTCCGTCCTCTCCTTCTCCTTCTCTCTCCTCCTTGTCGTTGTTGTCCTTGTCCTTCTCCTTGTCCTTGGCCATTCAGTCATGAAACGCACGCGGAACGGCACACGTCTTATTTTCAAAGTGTTCGAAAATCACTTCAGCACTAAGGTAGGAAAAGTAGTGGGGTTGAAAAAGTCCCTGCTCTTTTGTTCACTGGGAATTCACTCGAAATGCTTCGCGCTCGGAATGCCCTGCTATGGGTTCATATCATCTAACAAAATTTTCTGTGTGCGTACTATGCTTCCACCCAAACTGTGCCGTCTGTTGTGACGAATGATGTTTACGCCGTTTTGCCAGATTGGCTGCAAATAATAATGCGTACTACGCAATTTTTTTTTTTTGCTCTAATTGCGTACGATAGCTATATACCAATTTTTATAGGTGTGAAATTTATTTAGATTCGGCGTGGTGGAGTGTGGATGTACTGTGGTGCCGCCTTTATACAAAATGGCTACTTTGGAGGGCCGGCTTTTCCGAGTCATCGTGGTGCGTCTTTCAAGTACAGGTAGCCAATTCAGTGTGATCCCGGATCTTAATCCTAAATCTTAATCTTGTACTGTGTATGCATGGGATTTCCGCGCTGGACGATCCGGCACCGAAATCCTCATCTTCATTATGCTGTTCGGTTATACTGTACGGATCAATGGACGATGTAAAAGGTGCATGAAATACCGAGCTGACATCGAGCCGGTATGGACTCTTTGCCTCGGATTCCACAGCCATTTGGAAACTGGTATTCTGGCCTCGTGCCCATCTGTTTGTTAAGCCCTCGGCAAAAAGTGAAGCCTTACAACGGCCTCAGTGGCACGTTGTTTCAAGGTCAATTCTTTGTACAGCAGTGATGTGCAGCAGCGACGGCATGTTATGAGGTTGTCGACATACTTGGATAGGTTTGTTGCTGATCTAAGGAATTATACATTTGTGCCCTCTCTCCCAACAGATGACAGCTTTTCGATCGACGAAGTGGTGATGTTCGAAGGCGAACACCACGAAAAGAACTTCTCTGTGTCTGGGGAGATCCTAGATGGGGTAAGTACGCTCGTGGAATCTACGGCTTATCGTCATTCCAGTAAGAACGGATTATAACCATGGCACGCGGTGTGTGGGTATGCGGCCACTGTGGCTTTTTACACGTGGATTCCAGTAAGATACGTATTGTCTGTCGTTCTTCCTGCGCCGCTGGCGGTGGATTCCTGCCATCATGTTCTGTTCGTCGTTTGCAAAATGAACCTTTCCTATACATCGAAATGAAAGAGCTCTGGGACGTCATCATGAAAGTCATAGACAATCACCCATTGGATATGTATGGTGTCGCATCACTTTCGCGCGTGGCAAAATCAGATCCACGTGCTAAATCAGTGTACCGGAAGTGTGGTTGAGTCCAGGATGTAATTATAGGATGACTTGTGTTCAAAACCCAGAACTAGATGACGTGATTGGTGACATTTCCGTGCTCGAAATCGCAGGCGGAAGACTTTGAAAGAGAACGACATGAAATACAACGTCTAAAAAGCAAGGCTACGTCTTTCATATTGGCCCAATCACAATGCATACCTTAGAGCTAGTTGCTAAGTGGGACTGAAGGGATCGTGTGCAGGTATTGATCGACAGCTGAGCTCAAATCAGAATGAATATGGAACGCAATTAATTCCGGCGCTTTGTTTTCGATCAACGCTTGATGCCTTTAATGAAATGAAGGGTTCCGTGTTTGAAATCTCGTGCTGCTCAGAGCATCGAAAGTCTGTGACTGAGGATTGTGCAGGAATGAAAATTAGGAGTCGAAGATGGAAGGAAGCGTGGTCAGTTGCGGGCGAGTGATATAACAAACTTTCTATGACATGCTAGGCCACTCAATGACATCTCATCACTCAGGGATGCGTCTTAAAAGCAGCGCTCCGACATCGACGACAAATTCCCTTTGAGATGATTAATAGTTTGGTATCTGGTTCGGAAGTCGTGGTGCGATCTAGTTATTGATGTAAGTGACTGTTCCACATTTATATGACGTTTTCAGCTGAGATGGCCATTTCCGAGATCACTTCCTGTTCACAGTCATGCCATTTTTAATAGTCTAAATCCCCTCTTTCTTGATGGAGGTGCTCATAAACTTTTACAACTCGTACTTGTGCGCGCCGCCTATTTTGAAGTCGCTCAGAGATGTATGACGTCCTGAGACGTCACACGAATTCCGCTCACTCAATGGTCATACTGCGTTGAAGGTAAAAAATTGGCCATCGACATATCCGTGTGTAAAGCAGGTCAGCACGAATCGCCGCGTCAACAGAGAGCAGTCGATTTTCAACCATTTTAACGCGATAAATACATGTCTCAAACGTGAACCACGTTTTGTGATATAGAATACAGATAATTTGGCAGTCCTGCAGATTATGATGGACGTGAGACTGAAAATGGAATGGCTTAAGAATGCCGCCGTAACCGGAACGTCAGTGTAAGTAAAGCAAACAACTGACAGAAAAATATACTGATACGCCAAGGGAAAGGGCCAAAACCCGCACGCCAGACGATCGTCGGGGTTATCCCATACGCATGAATTTAACAAGCGATGCCATTTGCTTCTTTTAAGTAAAGTGTTACGCATTTATGTGGGGTTTTGAACTGAGGCAGCCATTTTGAAGAGCATTGAGTGCAACTCACAGCCCTACCCTTCTTAAGACATAAACCCCGCTAGTTTCTAAGCCACACGCTCGCGAAAATAAGCAGACTAAGTCTGTGGGTTTATTTCAACTTCGCCCAAGCGCCCATGGCGCCATGGTGACTTCATTTAAATCCTGCCATTCCATTGGCCGTGCAGCGATCAAGGCCAAGAAAAATATAATTGTCGAGTCGTTCATATCTGACGTTGGCTAGCGCGATTTGCAGATATAACGCCGTCAATTGGCTCTCCATCAGTGTTGTGCAAGGTACGATAACGTAATCGAACAATGACAGCGAGGAGCATGCTAGCTAAACAAAAAGAAACTGTGTTGTTGATGACGGTCTTTCACTTAAAAGTACGCCAATAGTTATAAAGTGGCTTATTTCATCATGTCTGACGCTTCCTTCAATATCTTCAAATGTGGAACATTGCCTTTAAATGTCGTGATTACTGAAGGCGCAGGCTGACTTTGGCTAGGCTGGTGTACCCGAGGCAGTATTGAACATGGTATTGTATTGTGTTGTATTTTCCCGCCCAATTGGAGTGTTTCGCGGTTGAAGTTGTTGAAGTAAACCTCGCGTATGATAAAATAAACTCACTTATTACTTTTGGTGTACTCTTAAGAGAAGAAGACTTTTTAGACTGCCCAATTTTTCAATTTAGTAGATATGCCCTTGAATACGTCATTATTTGATAGCGCCATCGTGCCTTGCACAACAGTGAGTGAGAGCCCATTGACGACCGTTTCATATTTAAATTGTGCTTACGAGCGCCAGCTATAAACGACTTGGCAATTATATCTGTCCTTGGCCTTGATCGCCGCATGCTGATGGAATGACAAGATTTGAGTGATGTTACTATGGCGTCACGGACTCCTGGGTGACCTTGAAAAAAGCCTCCGCGAAAAGCCTGCACATCTTGGCGGGCGTGTAGCTCAGAAACTAGGACGGTGTATGTCTTAAGAATGGCAGGGCTGTGAGTCGCACCAAATGATCCTCAAGACGGCTATTTCAGTTGAAAACCTATGCAAATGTGGAGCACGCCCCTTAACCAGCGTCTGTTCTCGCAACGGGCGTAATGAACACGAATGCGCATGAAGAGGCGACAGGTAGGCTAAGATGATATAAGGATAGGCTAAGGATGGAAACAGATTCTAGGGTTGCAGGGCAAGGTCTTGGAAAAGGCATTGGGTAAATATATACCAACAAGGAGCTCGTTAGACACCGGGCGCGCAGCCCAACCGACCAACTGGCTTGGATTTAGGACTAAGATAGGCGGTAGTCTATGGTTACACAAAAGGCAACACAGAACGGATGTTAGCTCTCATGTAATACCCATGCTAATCGTACGCGGCAAGCAGTAGTGTGCATTACTAAGTAGATAATCTGGAAGGCGTGCATATGCAAGAGAGGGGAGGTACACCCAAGGGAGAGGCACGTAGCCCCCCAACTGCTGGGAAAATGTGTGTGCGCGCAACTTCTTGTGGACATAAAGTATCATGAGCTAATGGTGTCCAGGAAAACCATTTAAATTGCACTTGGAAAAGCAAAGATGGAACATGTGTGCACTTCCTCCAAGTATTTCATATAATGCCGCAGGTTAGAGCTCAGACTCTAAATTTTGCCCCAGGTGGTATTCAGATTTTGAGGTGATGCGTTGAGACGGAGGCGTTGGTGCGCGTGTGCTCAGCGGCCGTGCAGATCACGGGCGCACGCACATGGTGACTCCCGGGTTACGTGCCTCTCCTTCAGGATTTATGACACGCATTGGAATGCGGGCGAATAAATGTTTATACTAAACTATTTTCAGAAGAACTTAAGATAAGGAGGTCTAGAGCATGCGAAGATGTTTTACGTCATGTAACAATGTTCGCGCTTCTGCGGTGCGTGAATGTATTTTTTTTTTTATAAAAGAAGCACAATTTGTGCCCCTCTCCCACATCTTGAAATCTTGCGCCCGCTCTGGCCAAGAAAAAGTCGCGAGAATAATTCACTCGAATTAGTCTAAAAGGTGATTTGTGTGCTGCATAACTCCTCTGCACCATGCCTTTTGGTTGGAATATTGTAATTTCTATGTATTGTAAACCGTGCTAAAGCAAAACTTGGCCGGCACCAATGCGCTGTCATTTGCGTTTCGAGTGGTGTCATTAAGAGAAATACGAAGATGTCATAAGATCGATCAAGGGTTATGACTTCAATCAATTATAAATCTGCAGATTTCACCCATAGGTGGCACCACAGGGGTTAACTCCGACCGTCATCGGCGCTAACAAATATGTAGGCGACATTAGGGCATGAAGTAAGATGCTATTTGGGAGCTTAAAATCACTGGATCACCGTGATCTCCTACCAGTTACGCATGCAATCGCTTTCCAAAGTTCCTCGTCGAGCTTACGCGCTTGCTCGGTTGGGTTTGCTCACCTACTATGTCATATTTTGCTTCCGGGTCGAAGTGACTTATTTCTTTATAGCAGTGAAGTTCGATGCGTGTTGTGTACACTTGTGTGCCGCTCTCGTGTTTTGTGGTCACCGTGGACCTCTTGCCTTTCGAAACTTCATTTCTATGTAAGTGCCAGCCTAAACAAGAATTGCATGAGTCACTGTACATGCCAGAATAGGAGATGTCATTGCGACGGAAGAACGTTCTCATTATTGACCCCACGTCCCGGTTGAATACACAAGTAAAAGCGATTATTGGCCCGTATCAATTCTATTACTATTTAAATAGCACGCCAAGTCAATTGCGCAGCGGAATGCTATGAAATCGGCCGTGATTGTGTCTGACCTGTTTTCAGGTACTGTACGACTTGTTAATGAACATGCTGGAGGAACGTGGTGTCAGCAACGAGTTCGCCCAGAAGCTGTCCGACTTCTGCACCGAGTACGAGCACAAGTGCTATATCGCTCTGCTTGAGGGAATGCGCGGCTTCGTCAGGGACTAGTAGTTCTGCTCGATGGATGGCGTACCATTTCACGCAGGTGGTGACGATGCGTGGTTGCAACTTGCGCGGCTACCGCCAGCTTTGAACGCTGTATGGTGTCATTAAGCGACCAGCTCTTGTCTTTTGGAAAATATATACACACCTAAATGGAAGCATTGTGTAGGTGTCTTATGCTTTCCGGCTGAAGCTGTTATCGGGAAATGCACGTCCTGCCACTTCGATTTTTATCCAGTTCGTTTTGAAAAGAAAAGAATTGTTGCTACCTGCTTACGCCGCCGTGCGTAGCATAACAAGATAGCAATTTCATGTCCGATGTAACTCTTTCGGACCAAACGTGTTCACCTTCATGTTGCAAAACAGCGACAGCTGCCACGAAAGGAGGCATGATCCGTCACTACTCGAAATTAATTCATAATAAGGAAAGGCGACGTGCATGGCACATTACAAAGCCAAAATGACGGCAGGAAGTGGACAGGTTAAGGCGTGCTATTTTCGCCCGAATTTGTCATACGGACGTGGCGTGAAACGCGTCTCGGTTTTTTCGGACGATTTGCATTTTGGGCTTTAGGCGCGCCTCGAAGGCAGCGGTAAGGTGTATGGGTGGGCTAATCCGGTCTGAGACGGCGATGGTCACATGGGCTGGTAAGTTTTAACCCTTATATCGGTTCACAAATTGCGCACAAAACACACTGACTGGCGATTCAAATACAAGAGGCACAAAGTGTATCAAAAGATCAGCACTAAATGTCTGATTGCCACCACTCATCAGGCGACTCGAGGTCCTCTTTACCAGACACGGTCATCCGACGGTTTGCTGAGTTACGTGGCCCTGTGGTGTCTTAGGAATGTACCGGGCGTTTAGTAAATGAGCTCCTCAATACGTCATTGATGGCGTCAAAAACACTTGTGTGACGTTGAAATACCGCCGGACTCGTGTGAAATTGCCACTTGTGCATACTCGTCACCGTATACCGTCATACTCGTCGACAGGTGGCAGAACGGGCTGAAAATGTTCGCTGAGCCAAATATTTTCATGTGCCTGGGTCGTTACCCTTCTAGTGGTGTTCTTGCATATTTATCGGCGAGTTTAATATATATATATATATAGATATAGATTTAGATATATCAAGTTATAAATTAACTGTGTTTAATGATTAATAATGCAGGTAATTGGGGGTCCTAGTTGAGACGAACATGAGACTGGAAACCGAATAACTTGAGAATAGCGTCGCAGCCGAGATTGGGCATGTCCGTGAAAAATGTCCTTTCGCTGACAAATGTGCTTGAGCACCGGCCAAAACACGCTTACATAATCATCGCCTGGTTTGTAACGCTCGCATTAACTAACAAGGCACCTTGCTGCGTGTTGAAGCATTGCAGCTGCGTCTGTCCATCCGCTACAGCAGCAATTCTGGCGCCGCCAGGCTGACAGCGACTGATGTCAAAAACGTTTCATTACTCAGTCAAACGATGACGCAATGAGGTGCGTGTTCATGCAAGATGGAATTTGCTTATTTAAAACAGTGTTACGGTTAACAACAGTACCAACAACTACAAGTGACCGTTTCCGCCATATGTGATGTTTTTAGTTGTATTTATATACGTGAGGCAGATCCATGCAGTATGACTATTCCAAGCCTCGTATCAAACTGCGCGAAGCGATGGGTCAAATAGATAGCGCTCACGAACAAAAAAAAAGAGAAAAGCACTCCTGGTCATGCATGACGATATAAGCAGAGAAATAAGGCGCCTGATCGGTACCTAGCTGTGTCCTCGTATCATGTGGTTTCTGACCACAGAACAGAACACAGAACACAGAACAGAACACAGAACGTACGGGATGCATTGCACGGATAGAAGCCGGCAGGTCATCAAATGCGGCCACAATGAAACAATTAAACTTCCGACTTGCAGACTGGGAGTATATCAGAAGAGTCGCGAGCCGATCACAATGTCTCATGATGCGCTAATAAGTGTCATGTCTGATAACAAAGTCACGAGCAAGTGTCTCGAGTTCGGATGGCGTCAAAAATTCTGAGTATGGTCTTTGCTGAAAACCACTGAAGCCCCGTAGAATATCGCTAATATGGTCATCTTCCCTTCCTCCAGAAATAAGTCGCTGCGAAGGTTAAAAGCCTCTGCACTAGGCCTATTAAGAACTGCTGTTTGCCTAGATCAGTGACCTCCCTTGACCCTCGTGAAGTCAAATTTTGACATCTTTTGACGTTGCGATCAAGGAATTCGAAAATAGCGTAAAGACGACGTCATGTGGCAGGCTTACTAGCAATTAAGGGGTTGGTTTTGATCTCGACTCTCCCTTTATGAAAGTCAGTGTCCTTAATTATATATATATATATATATATATATATATATATAATTATAAAAAAACAAAAGTCAATGGATTCAGTCGCAGTTCTACTTTCAAAAGTCTTATCGTCTAAGATGCCATCTGAATGTTTTATTATGACTTCGTCTGACTCTTCGTTGTGTCATCATAGCGAACAATTCCTCGGAATTGCCTTCGCTGTTAGCCATGACCTGATTTTGACATGCTTTAAGGTAGCGACCTTAGGAGATACATCTGGTTTTCCCTTTCAAACGATCGCCTGGTCAACTGTCTACAGCTGTACAAAGTTTAATGCGGCTTCGCGACACCGTTCATAAGTTATTTAGGGGAGACATTCGAGAGGAACTACACCCTCACCTGAACGCGCGGTCATAATGAAACTCATTGATTGGAAGGATGTGAATCTCGCAACCAGTCAGAATTCTTCAAACTAGCGTTATGTTTGCTGGTTTCGCAGCCTGTCGGGACATGCACATATGGAGCTCGTTAGAGAGAAGCATTACGGCATGCTAACAGGTGTAATACTAGTGTGTTTATGACGACAATACAAAACCTGAACACGGATGTAGGGGAATTTCCAAACGCATTTCTACTGAGACGGGCCAGACAGCATTTGGTTTGAAAATTCGAAAAGGCCATACTGGCATGTGGATGGGACTCTAGGGAGCTGAAGCGGATTTACTTGTATTCTAAAACGTCAATCCGTTAAGTATTCTACCAGATGAGTATTCCAACGCGTTGCAGAATCGAAACAGTGCAATGCAACCAGTGACTTGCATTCAAAAATAGCATGTCGTGTTCTCGACGGTCTCGACAGTTCTTCCTGTTTTTGCTTCTTCTTGCGTCAACGTGAGAAGTGAAAACGCCCTTTGATCGCGAAGTTGGGTGAGCAATATGTGTGATACGCTGTTTGACGGCGCCGTCCACATGCCCGCGATGGCTCGATCATCCCCGCCGATTTGCTGCCAGCATATTACCATTTACGCCAAGGCCTTCGTGAATGTTAAACAGTACTGGGACAGTGAAAGTATTTTAAATGGAGCGTTCCACATTTGAAGATATGGAAGCAAGCGTCAGATATGATGAAATAAGCTCACGTATAACTATTGGTATGCTTCAAGTGGATAAGGCTGCTTTAGACAATACAAATTATCTACTTAGTAACTATGCTCATGAATACGTCATTGTTTAATTACGTCATCGTGCCTTGCACAACACCGAATGAGAGGCAATTGACGGTCGTTATATCTGGAAGTCGTGCTCACGAACGCTAGGATGACGTGGAAAAAGTCTTCCAGAAACAGTACATATCTTAGCGGGTATGTAGGTCAGAAACTATAAGGCTTTAGGTCTTAAGAAGGACAGAGCTGTGACCTGCACCGAATGGCCATCAGGATGGCTATTTCAGTGCAAAGCCCCATACAAATGTGAAACACTCCCTTTAAGGAGAACTTGTGTTGCTTTGGCGATCTGTCACGAACACACCGATGAAATAGAAAATTAACACCCCACATCTGAGCACTTGTGTCAACACGGGGTCTGAATTATCTGACGCACAAGTAAACGGGATTGTCTGGTGTGTACAGATGTGTCTGATGTACACGAGGGTGATCGAATGCAGCGCCTGCATTTTTTTTTTCACCTCGATCAGAGCAGCAGTGGTCAAGCCATAGCCTCGGATACTACCTGACAGGTCACGTAATACAGTTGTTTGTTGTGGTCTATGGCGGTGTCCACTGGCGAATCTGAGAGGATTTCATCCGGGCAGGGCCTCCTCAAAACGGTGTCAAGGGAAGCGCTGTGCTTTGTGCCTCCAAACTCTTCGAAAATATAACAAATAGGACCAAAAACGACTGCCTCTGTATCTTCATCAGAGGTATCATGGTCAACGCTATCTGTTTGATGTCCATATCAATAATTAAGTTTGCCTCATGCGTATGCGTACGCTTTTATCAAAGGTTGCCGCGCGGCGGGCGACACAGGTCGTCGCTCGGGCCTTCATGGATCGTTAGTGACCGGTGGGATACTAAAAGCGTCCAAATGTCACTGCGTCAGTCGTGGATCCTCCTGCCGCCAGCCGAAACCGTCACCCTCCTGCGTGGAAGACGAGCGCTCTCGCTGCTGCACTTTTTCACTTCCTGTCTCTTTGTGTGTTCGGCGACGATTTTCCTTTTTTCCTTTCGAGCGTCGATTTCTAAGGACTGTCCGACGTGCTCTCGCATGCTGAGGGACATCACAGTTATCTCGGCATCTTGACAGCTCTCGCGTGCTGAGAGACATCATTTATCTGGATATCCTGACAGCACTCGTATAATGAGGTATCACAGTTATCCCGACATCTCGACAGCTCTCGTATACTAAGGGATTAGATGTTGACCGCATGTCATGTCTGACCGCATGTCTGGCGTTGACCGCATGTCAATATCTCTATTCAATTCGGAGACATGCAGAGAAAGCGTTCGAAGGGCCACCTATACGCACTTTTGCGAGGCCCAAAACAGAATTTGTAGGCAAAAGTCATGTTCTCTGGACTTTGTTCTGGACGGTAATGGATAGAAATGCGTTCGACCTTCAGTAAAAAACAAACATTTCAGCATTCCAAAAGTCAAGAGAAAGGGTCACGAGGCCAAGTTTTGAGGTTGCCAAAAGTTATGTTGCATCATTACGAATTAATACATGTAAAGTTTTAGTGGGGTTTGAACCGTTCCACTGCAAGTTATGGGCCATCAAAGAAGGGTCAGCAGCATGACCTCTCAAAACTGTCCGGGGCTATAACTCGGTGACTGTTACTCGGAGAGGTTTAAG